TGCATGTATCAGTACTCCATTCTTTTCATTGCTGAATAATATTCCATTACAATGGCTATACCACATGTAATTTATCCATTCATCTGTTGATGGACATTAGTTGTTTCTACCTTTTGGCTATTGTGAATAGCACTGCTATGAACATTCACACAAGTTTTTGTTTGAACACTTGTTTCCAATCCTTCCGGGTATATTCCAAAGAACAGAATTGCTGGGTCATATGGTAATTCTACATTTAACTTATTGAGGAACCGCCGGAACTGTTTCCCATAGAGGTTGCACTATTTCGCATTCCCACCAGCAATACATGAGAGTTCCAATTTTTCCACATCCTCACCAACACTTGTTACTTTCCACTTTTTTTTTTTTTTTTCATTTTATTGTAGTCATTCTAGTGGTGTGAAGTGATATCTCACTGTGGTTTTGATTTACTTTTTCCTAATGACTAATGATACTGAACATTTTTCATGTGCTTGTTGGTATATCTTCTTTGGAGAAATGTCTATTCAAGTGTTTTGCATATTTTTTAATTGGGTTGTCTTTTTTGTTGTTGAGTTGTAAGAGCTCTACAGACATTCTAGATAGTAGACCTTTATCAGATATATGATTTTCAGATATTTTCTCCCATTCTATGGGTTGTCTTTTCACTTTTTTGATAGTGCTCTTTGATACACAGAAGTTTTTAATTTTGATGAAGTCCAATTTATTTTTTCTTTTGTTACTTGTACTTTTGGTGTCATACCTTAAAAAACCATTACCAAATCCAAGATCATGACAATTTACTCTTATATTTTCTTCTAAGAGTTTTATATTTCTAGCTCTTATAGTTAGGTCATTGATATATTTTGAGTTAATTTTTATGTACGGTATGAGGTAGGGGTCTCACTTCATTTCTTTTCCATGTGAATATTCAATTGTTCCAGTGTCATTTGTTAAAGAGATTATTCTTTTTCTTTGCTTTTTTCTGCATCAGTTGAGATGATCATGTTTTTTTTCTCTTTAGTCTATTAATGTGGTGCATTACACTGACTGATTTTATATGCTGAACCATTGTTGCATTCCTGGGACAAATCCCACTTGGTCATGGTGTATAATCCTTTTAATATGCTGTTGGATTTGGTTTGCTAGTTTTTCTTGAGGATTTTTGCATATATATTCATAAGGGATATTGTGGTGTCTTTTTTGGCTTTATTATCAGGGCTAGACTCACAGAATAAGTTAGGATGTGTTCCCTACTCCTCTATTTTTTTAAAGAGTTTAAGAAAGATTCACGTTAATTCTTCTTTAAATATTTGGTTGAATCCATCACTGAAGCCATCTGGTCCCGGGATTTTCTTTGTCTGGAAGTTTTTGATTACTGATTCTATCTTTTTACTTACTATAGGTCTGTTGAGATTTTCTATTCCTTTTTGAGTCAGTTTTGGTAATTAGTGCATTTCTAGGAATTTTTCCATTTCATCTAGGCTGTCTAATTTGTTGGTGTACAACTGTCCATAGTTTTCTCTTCTAATTCTTTTTATTTCTGTAAGGTTGGTAGTGATGTCCTCACTTTCTTTTCCGATTTTAGTCATTTGAGTTTTCTCTTTTTTTTCTTAATCGAGCTAAATATTTGTCAATTTAATTGATCTTTCAAAGAACCAACTTTTGGTTTCATTGATTCTATTGTTTTTCTATTCTCTATTTCATTTATCTCCACTATAATCTTTATTATTTCCTTTCTTTTGCTATTTTTGGGTTTAGTTTTATTTTCTTTTTCTAGTTCCTTAAGGTGTAAAGTTATTGACTGACCTTTTTTAATCTAGACATTTACAGCTATTAATTTCCTGCTAAGCACTACTTTAACTGTATCCCATAAGCTTTAGTAAGTGTTTTTGTTTTCATTAATGTCAAGGTATTTTCTAATTTCCCTGTGATTTCTTCTTTGACCCATTGTTTGTTTAAGAGTGTGTTGTTTATTTTCCACATATTCATGAATTTTCCCGTTTTCCTTCTGTTATTGATTTCTAGTTTCATTCCACTGTGGTCAGAGAGTGTACTTTATATGACTTCAATATTTTTAAATTTATTGAGACTTGTTTTGTGGCCTAACATATGGTCTATCCTACAGAATGGTCCATGTTCACTTGAGGAGAATGTGTATCCTGCTGTTGCTAGGTGGAGTGTTCTGTTAGGTATAGTTGGCTTGTAGCATCCAAAAGTTTTAAGCAGTACAATGACATGGTTAAATTCCTATTTTTAACATGTTCCTCTGGCTGCTATCTGAAGAACTGACTAAAGGCAGAAGACAGCGGGGAGGCTGTTACAGACATCCAGGTAAGAAGGAATGGTACCTGGATTGGGGGTAGCAGAAAAGCTGGAGATCAGCAGATGATTTCAAGAGATAACAGAATTAAGAAGCAGGCTTGAGACATGGTCCACAGTCCAGAAAGGGACAGACAGACTATGGACGATCCACAGGAGTCTGTCTAGAGCACTGTCTGTGTCCTTTGACCCAGCTGGCTGCTCTCAGCCAGGCCCACGGAGGGGCACACCAAGCAGTGTTCTCTAACTCAGGCCTACCCTAAGCTGACTCCAAGACAAGCAAAAAGTTAAAAACCGCAACTTTCTGACAACAGTGTGAGAACTGTGGGAGGAGGAAGTTGCCTTGCAGAGAAGGCTACTACAAGGCCATTTTTCAAGAAATAATCAGGTGGTTCCAATCTTTCCATAAATGTGCAGTACTTGCCTGAAAGCTTCTCCTTCACATACATTAGTTCATCTGAGCTTCAAAATGCCAAAAGGAGAGGAATTCTGCCATTCCTCACTGACACTTAGCATATGCTGCCTTGAATCGTACCTGAATGCTTGTCTCTGTCCTGTGTCTCTACCCAGAAGGCTAGCCCCTTGGGGACACAAGCTATGTGCTGCATCTCCAGCCCCTAAGCATGCGTGAGGGGCACAAAATGAGGGAAGGTAAGCCTGAGGCTGCTCCTGCAGGGGCCCTCACCTCCCCTGGAGGAAGCCCAGGCTAGAAGTCTCTAGTGCTGGCCAGCTGGCTTAGCAAACACTTCCTCCCCAGATGCAAAAGAAATTGCTTCTGGATGGCTGTCCCAGGAAAATTACTCTAGAGTGATTATTCCAATAAATGTTAGCTACTATGTTATTTTCAGGAAATTCCTAAAAAACCAAGCAATTTTGTTTTTAAAACATGGAAAGTAGAAGCCAGAAAGACGAAGTTAGTTCTTCCATAACAGTAGTGCCCCCTCACTTGACCAACATGGTTGTCCTGAGCCCAGCCACACTGTGAATTGTCATTTGCCACTATGGCTTTCCCCACAGCCATGCAAACTGAGACCACAGGTGATCTGTCAGCCCAGGTTGGGCCAAGGCCCTGCTGGGGTTCTCAGTGCAGTCCATGCCTGGGAAGGCTCCAACATCCTTCTTCACCGGAAAATCAGGTGGTAACCTGGGGACCTCTTGCCAAGCTCAGCATCACTGCTGACACACCAGAGCTACTTGAGTGTTGACCCCAGGGATACCAGTCACTGCAGGGCAGACCCATGCTTCAAACAGGTGAAACTAGAAGGCCAGACTGATAGTTGATGCTCTTCGACACTCATTGAAAGCTAGTGCTTGGGGAAAACCTCCCAATGCAGGGAGACTACGTCATGGAGTGTCTCATCCTGCCTTATGCTAGAGCTCCTTATACAGGATTCACTATCTCCTCATCCAGCCTGGGAGATGATCCTTGAGTGCAGGGGCTGGGCCACAAGCTCATCTGTAACCCGGCCTCCCCAGAAAAAAGCACAGATCTTTGGTAACATGCACCATTTTGCTTATAACTTCGGAAGGATCACAGCTTCCCAGCCCCACTTCCCTGTGTATGCAGACCCATTTTTTTCACCAGTCGGAAACGTTTGCTATTCCTCTGGGTGGGCAAGGCTATGGGGAGGCTGGGATTCTCACACACTTCTTGTGGGTGTCTAATGGTACAACCCCTATGGAAGGTAGTTTAACAATACCTCTCAGAATTATAAATGCACACTCCCACTAGCCCAGTGATTCCGCTTCCTGGAAAGTACATTTCATTTATACTTGTTCTCCCATGAAATGAAGTATATGCAAGGTTAGTCACTGAAGGATAGTATGTCATAGCCAAGTAAGGAAACAACCCAAATGTTCATCAATAGGATATAGGTTAAAGAAACTACAGCGCGTTCATACAACGAAATATTAAACTGTCATAAAAACAAAGGGGAAGCATTTTATCTACTGATAGGGAAGTACTTTCAAGATATGCTGCTAAATGGAAAAAAACTCTAGGTGGAACATGGTATTTATTTTAAAATAAGTACATATTTGAATCTATATGAAAGACATAGACACTGGTTGCCTTTGGTGGGAGAACTAAGTAGGTGGGGACAGGAGTCAAAGGCACACTTCACTACATAAGCTTTTGAAGCTGTTGGTTTAGGAATCAAACAAAAACATTACGTTTAAAAACATAAATTTGTTAAAGTAAAAAATAAAACATCTTGTTCAGGAATTCTGAGATGGACTCCCACCTTAGCTCTTGGCAGCAGCTCTGGCTAATGATTTTCAATCTCAACAACGGGGCCGGGAAAAAGTCTGGCCCAAGGCACAGGCGCTGGAGCTCGGGTTCCCAGGGTCGACTGCTGCTTCTGGACCTGACCCACAGCAGCACTGAGGGCCTGCTAAAATCCAACGATGAACTTGTCCACAGAAAGGCACGCACAGCTCCCGCCCACCACAAACGCCTCTGCCAGTTGAGCTGGCAGCCACCCTCAACCACTGTGGCAGAAAGAGCACAGCAGCCGTGCTTCTCACTGCTGAAGACGCCCAAGCTGAGTGGAAAGGGCAGACATATACACCTTGACCTTCTGCAGGGTCTGGACTAGCCTGGGTCTCCTGGCCACCGCTGCCCACTCACACTGTCAATTCCCACACCTCCAGACCCACAACACTGCACACACACGTCCACCGCACCACATGCTTACTACCTGAGTGGCTGTTCATCATGCGGACAGCCTTGGCCTTGGCCAGCTCCAGGGTGGTGATCCATTGCTGCCGCTCCACCTCCGAGCTGGCCTTGAGGTGGTAGGTCCTTGCTCCACTGGTCAGCAGGATGTTGCAAGAGTCCTCCGTGTCAATGTGTGCTGTGGACAGGTTGATGGTGCCCCGGCAGGTGTGGGCCATTTCACCCTGATTTCTGTAGGATACAAGAGAAGGGACAGTGTAACGCTCCCAGATGGAAGAAATCCCTAAGGCAAATCCTAGAAAGCTCAGAATCCTAGAGCTGGGAAAGACCCTGGAATCTGAGTTGGAGATGATGCCTATTGGGACTGACTGATAGTGGCCTGGTTAAGAGGCCTCTGAGGCCACTTCTGCTCTGTGGAGAGCATGGATGAGGGAAGAAGGCCTGCATCATTGCCGCATGTGGGCATGCCTGCTGTGGTCTGAGCCCTCACAGAGGACAGGAGTGCCTCCCAGGGTCCTCTAAGGCACAGCACACCTCTGACTCCATCCCAGGCTCTTTCCACTCAGTCTCAGGACCACAGAACAGAGGTATGGTGGGATCTTGCATGAAAACTGAGACTGGAGGCCCCAAGGGTAGACTCAGAGGACACCCTGCCAGGAGTGACCTGGGAACAGCGTTGCCCCTGATGCAGGTCTTTCACTATATCACTCCCAGTCACGAGACATGCAGAGTAAGGATGCCACCACTGTTCTCTGGCCCTGTAACAATGAATAAGATGAAGGCACTTGCTGGGCTAACGCAGCGCTACCTCTTAACAAGGGCCCCCTTTGCTGGTTACAGGATTATGTAGTGAATGGTATCAAAATAAGCGGTAGTGGAGGTGGCTAAAGTATGTGCCACTGCTAACTGTGATCAGTTTCTGAACACTGAGGTCCAACTATCTCCCTCAGACCTGTGAAGAAAGTTCAGAACCCCCCACCGCCACACACCAAAACTCTTCCCATAGATGATATCTGAAAAGGTCAGCATCTAACGCTGCCAGTGGCAGGAACTCATCTGGCAACTTTCCGCTGCCTTTAGTGCTGGTTGATTTCCCCCGTTCTTCATCACTTGTCACTTTCGTGATTCTTCTACCAGTTCCAAAGTCAAATGACTTGAACTCAGTGAGGCACTTATCTTTCATTCGAGCAGGTGCCGCCTTTTCTGAGTCCCTCCTGCTTCGGTCACCTTCCTTAGAGAAGATGGTATAGTTTATAACTGAAGAAAAGCTCAGCTCTCAGGTGCTGGCAGCTTCCACTTGAGGAGACTCACTCTAAGTTACAGAACTGGCAAAGCTGGGCAGGCCCTGTTGGAAGCCTCATGTTTTAGATTTAAGGATACTTCAGCCTAGAGATTGGTTGTTCAGGTGTTAAATATGGTAATGACACAGTACCCTAGATCAAAAAGAAGGGAGGGATGGACAGTGCTCCAAACAGAGGAAACAGCAGGTACAAAGACCATGAGACAAGAAGGACTTTATAGCTTTCAAGGAATAGAAAAAGGTTCTGTGTGACCCGGGCAATGAGAACAAGAGAGTGGATAAGAGAAAACTGAAGCTAGAAAATCGATCGGGCAGGGACAAATGCAATCTCTCGCAGGCCACATGAAGGATTTAGACTTTTACCCTAAAACTAAAATGGTAGGCCTCCTGGTTTAATGTCAGGAAAGAAGCAGAGGTGGCCAAGTGTTTCACCTCCATGGAAAAATGGGGATTAAAAGGGCCTTGGGCAGGGCAGGGTAGGGGACTGGAGCTGGACCAGTGTTGAACTCAGGGCTGGGCTGGATGTTACCCAGCTGCTATCATATTGGATTACAACCCATAGACTAAAATAAATACCCACAAGTCCATATTGATATAAATAAATAATTGTAGGAATAAATAAATGAGGGAGAAGGGATAGTTCCTTCTTAATGAATGTAGATGGAATGATGGAAATAGAAAAATCATTAAATGTAAAGTAGGCTCCTGGACTGGATCCTAAAATAGAGAAATGACATTAATGGAAAAGTGATGAACGCTGAATAAAGTCTGGCAGTTAGTTAGTAGTATTGTAACAATGCTAATTTCCTGGTTTTGATCATTGTGCTATGGTTAGTTAAGATGTTAACATTAGAGGAAGCTTAGTGAAGGGTATATGGGAACTCTGTATTATGTTTACAACTTCTATGTAAGTCTAAGTTATTTCAAAATAAAAAAAGTTAAAAAAAAAAAAATGCTGCTATCACCTTCTGCCTAGGGTCATAGCTGACATGAAGCCTTACAGCCAGAACCTGAACTCACCTGCCCTCAGGATCAGTGTGACTGGATTGGAAATATTCCCAATGTCACTCAAGGGCAAAAGCCCCAAATTCCCATCATATGGCCTGGTTCCAGACAGATCTGCAGGGGGCTAGGTGGCGGCACTTATGACATCACTAGTCTGAGAAGACTGATGGGTGAGGGTACGGGAGAGAGGAAGAGCCTCTCAGTCAAGATGAACCTGAAAACTAAAATTCAAAACCCATAAAGAAAATCAATGCTAATAAAGATGCCAACGAAGTCAATGATCAGAAGATGAATCACTTCAGACAAAATGGAACTAATGGGACAATATGAAAAAAAAATTAATATAAATAGGTTTAGGCTTCTTAAAGATGAAGGAATAGCATCCATAAAAGGAGCAAAAAAATATGAAACAAAAGCAGACAAAATGAAACAAAAGGTAGATATGAAAAAGTCACAAGAGAATTAGAAAATGAAAATACAGTAGATAAGATTTACCAGTCAACCAACAACATTCTTCAAAGAGATGGAAAAACTAATTATTAACTTTATATGGAAAGGGAAGAAGCCCCGAATAAGTAAAGCACTACTGAAGA